ACCAGTGAAAAAAGGAGGCCTGGGACTGTTAAACCCAGCGTACGAATACAAAGCTTTGCAAACCAAATGGATAATCAGAATCCTCCTACACAAAGAGTTACCTTGGCACGACATGGCTCTATACCAGATCCGTAACCTCGTTCCTTTCCAAGTAGACCCTCAAATAGAAGGCTATCACTGGCTAATGAACAAGGCATGGTCCACAAGAACAGAAAGTAACAGAGGGAATGTTAACCAGCAGGCCAATAAGGACCCCCCAACCAAGCATTGGAAAACACTCATTCACCATCGGAGAGAGGCTTTTCCGGAAAAGGTTAGTCTACCAAAAATAAAGGAAGAAGTTCTGAGACAACCACTCTTCGGAAACTCCCTCACATTAGATGGAAAAGGTAGGCCCTGGTCCTTAACAAGCAAGGGTAGAAGATGGAGAAAGTGGATGGAGAAAGGAATTTGGAAAGCGGAACACATCTGGAAGGAGGATGAGAAGAGATGGAAGACAGCCTCGGAACTAAGGCAACAACTCAAAGGATGCCACAATTTGGAAAACAACCTAGAGGAAATGATAGATAGCATACCTCTAGAATGGAGGAAGCTGCTAAAGGGAGAGATCAAATGGGAAATAGGTGACTGGGCAACAGACAGAGGACAAACGGTGCCATCGGTAGCTCTTAAATTTGTCAAACGCATAGGAAACCAAGGGAACATAGCAGAATTTGAATTACATGAACTACGGAGCAAACACAAATCAGTAACAGGGATCGTAGAAGAGAGCATAACAACCTTAGAGTTTGACATTGAACAACTGCGAAAAGTAAGAACATGGATAGTAAAGGAGAAAAGAGGTTCCAAAAATCAGGCTAAAAATTCAAAGACAGTACTTCTATTCAGACCAGACAAAGACATCAGGGATTTAGAAGTGGACCCGGCCGAATGGGGCTGGTATGTCAACCTGGGAAGGGCCAGGGCAAGGAAATTAATCAATTTACAGGACTATGAAGTAAAAATAGGATACAAAATAAGAAACAAGACAGTAGGCCCCCGCCCAATTATCTCAGAAAGATGGATCAAACACTTGGGAGAGGAACACGGCTGGCCCTCGAAGATCCCATGGGATTATTACAGTAACCTGAAACCTACCAGATTTAGAAGCCTGCAATGGCTAATACTGTACTGGGCAGTCCCAGTAAATGAATGGCTGGAAAGAAGAAGGAAACCCGAACAAGGAGCAGAACAATCCTCCCTCTGCAAAATGTGTGACGAGAGCAAAGTGGAATCACTGGTCCACTGCTTGATAGAATGCACGCATGCAGACAGAATTTGGGAAGCAGTCAAGTCATCATGGTCCAACATATCCCCAAACTCATTCCCGTTACAAGCGGATTACTTACTGTCAGCGAGAGACACAGAGGGGTTTTTCAAGGAAGAAGAAAGAAGCACAGCGGATTCACTGCGAAGAGCAGCACTTTGGGTGATATGGAGATCTAGATGCAAAGGAGCGCTCAGCAATCAGATGATAACGTACGAAGAAGAGTGGAAAGAAATTAAGGAAATTGTGGAAACGGAAATCAGAGCACAATGGAAAAAGGAATTAAAGAAACAGGAAATAATATTTGATCCCAAAAAAAGAGAGATTAGTCAAGAGTCCTTTGAAAGGAAATGGTTACTAGACAGGAAGATAGCAAGAATAGATAACAAACGCCTAAAGTTTCAGGAATGGGACAAGGTAAACCAACTCAGGGATACCTCGGATGTAGAGGAGTCACCCTCAGAGGGAAGAACAACAGCAAGGCAACTAGTCTGATTCAGGAAAAGGAAACAGGGCCCATCTCAGAGGCATGTCTTCAGGCCCAGGATAAAGAGATATTACCAGTACACAGCTGTAGAAGGAGAGATGATGACATCACCCCCCCCCCCCCAAGTAATGTTCAAAACGGTAGGATCACAGGCCAGACCTAAAACTGTGCTTCTATATAGGGTTTAGGGTTTTAAGAATCCCCCAAGTAATGTTCAAACCCTAAGGGAATAGGTTCGGAGGAATGAGGGTTCAGACAGAAAGAAGGGGCCCATAGTCCAGGATCCCATAGAAAATACAGCAAGAGGCAGGGGATAGAGGAGGGGTAACAGAAAGAACAGACCATGTCCCATGGAAAGTCACAGGA